TGTTAAGGGCAGACATAGGGTGATAGACATGAGCTCCTGCTCTCTTTGACCCATGGGAGGAGACAGAATATTGAACAAGTTCTTGTCTCAGGTTTACTGGGGAATCCCTAAGGTTGGGAATCCAGAGCCTATATCAAAGTGATTGCCAAAATGTTTCCCCCAGGGAGGCCATTGTTAAAAACAAGCATTATACAATAAGGTCTGTTGTAATCAAGCAGTAGATGATGCCAAACAAATTACACATGAACCATATTTTTTGCAGTTTTAAATTTACTTATTCATTCCATAAGCATTTATTGAACATTTACCTGATGTATTTTTTTAAATCAGGAATTGAACAAAATGTCCAAACAAGAGGTGCTGTTTATTAATTTCCTATGGCATACCAAGCATTTAGCTTTTGCTTTTTCTTGCCTTTACTTCTAAGACACCAGGACAATATCTCCACTTTAAAAATGAGAAAATTATGCCTGGTATGGTGGCACATGCTTGTAAACCCATACTCTGCAGAACTGCAAATTTGAACCCAGCTTGGGCAACTTAGTGAGACACTGTCTCAAAACAGAAAAAAATATAAAAGGGGCTGGGAATAGAGCTCAGTGTGAAAGCCCTGGGTTCAGGTCCATGGAGAGAGAGGGAGAAAAGGGAGAGGAGAAAAGAGAGAGAGAGAGAGACAGGGAAAGAGAGAGAGAGAGAGAGAGAGAGAGAGAGAGAGAGGGAGATGAAGGTCAAATGGATTGGACGGTAACTGCAGACCTTCTGGTGAGCCTCTAAATGCGTGTTCTTTCCACAGTACTCCACTCTGCTCTGGAGACTGGATCCCAACTCAGACACATTTCCTCCTTATAAAGAGAAATACAACTCTGTGATCTTGAACTCTAGGAATGCTGTTGAAACTCAGATGGGAGAGCAGAATGTCTCTGAGGCTTAGGGCTGTTGCTGAAGGTTACTGGAGAAAGTAGAGCCCTGTGCATGGTGCTGTAAGCAAAGTGCTCTAAAATTCCATTTCATATATGTATGTGTCTTCTCAAATCCTTTTTGGAAGAACATAATGTACAACTAAAAGAAAAGCAAACAGTACTGCTGTGCATGAAGTCGAGGCACACTTGGTTTTTTGATGTAATGTTTGGTTTTGTAACGTGATAATGTGCATTAAGTAACTTGCCTGTAAATGTATAACGCACACGCTTGCATTTCTTATACTGGTCCTGAAGTTAAATCACAGACCAGCAATACATTTTTCAGGAGTCCTTCTAGTGTTCATCTCAGAACATCTGCAAACAAATGAAAATAGGACTGTAGTGGATAGAAATCTAAGAGGACAGTAACACAGAAGCCTTCTCAAAGGCCACATTTAGTTGCAGTTTCTGATGACAATGAATCATAAACCTAAACAAAATACATAGTTACTATTATCTTTAGTACTGGCAAAAAAATGGAGATTTATATAATAGGGGAAAAGGGCTCAATTATTAGAGTCTGCAAGGAAAGGTAAAACCTAGAGGCAAAGTTTTAATTTAACTGTTTGTATCCATTAGTTATTTCTCCCATTTATTGAGTAGTTTTGCCTGAAACATGAACTCTGTGTTAAAAATGAGAATTTCAATATTCATTCAATTACAGAAATGTGTTTGGATTATTTTTAATGTCCTTTCATCTTTTCTGCCTCTAAGGGGAAGTGTGTTTTCAACAGTTCTGTCCCCAGAAAGTATTTTCTTGCAGGCCACATGATTCACAGGGGTGATCTTTAGTGTCACTACAGTCCCAGCCAGACAGGGAAAAAAAGAGGCCCTTTGAAAATCTGATGTGTGCTTTACTTTTGTGGTCACATCCAGGGTTCTGGGGAGAAGACTACAGAGACAATGGTGGAGAAAACCTCATTCTGATGGCATTTCTAATACATTTCGAAGAATCATGTGTTAGTTTCTGTGTATGGCGCTGCTTTTCCTGGTAGTAGCAGAGTAACGTGGCCACAAATTTCATTTCACAGCTGGAAACTAAGTAGCCAGATATGTTCTAGAAAACGTGCCTCTATTTCAGTAGCTTAAAGTAAAAAAAAAAGTCATGGTTTATGAATGTTGGAGAAAACATTTCTAAATCCTATGGAAAGTCTGTGAATTTCTGTATCATCACGTGAACATTGTTCCTTTAGGTTTTCAATTGCCTAACTTTATTTTGCAGCATTTCTCCATATTTTTTTTTGTTTACATTCAACAGTTGAATCCAGAAAGGATTTTGAATGTGAAAAAGGCCTCTTTTTTTTTTCCATTTTATGTTTTACAGAATTGGAAGGAACAATGCTTAAAAATTGAGTTCAAGAGATGTTATTTCTATTTCCCCTCTTTCATCTTTCTTGTTTGCTTTAACTTTTGTGTGTTTGTTTTTGAGGGTCTTACTGTGTAGTCGAGGCCAGCCTTGAATGCTCTGTGGACCAGATCTTGCTGTGATCCTGGTCTCAGCCTCTCAAGTACTGGGATTACAGGCATGCACCAATATGCTCACCTATTGTTTTCATTTTTTAATTAAAGTGTTACAAAAGTCTTATTATAAAATGATGCTATTTTCAGCTTTAGTCTGCCTTGTAACCTGAATACCTAGCTAAATATAACATAAAAGATTTGAAGCAAAGAATGTTATTACTTAAAGTGCCAGGTAGCAGTTGGTCCACAACCTTCTTTTACTTGGTACAGTAGGTACTACATGGTTTATTTGTAATCCAGTCTTATTTAACAATATTCTCACTGGCAAAGCTGTATTTATATATGTCATTTATACTCTTTGGGCCTCAATTCTTTAACTAGAGAATACAAGGTATCAGGCGTGGTGATTTCTTTCTTCCGTTATTATTTTATATTTCCTTTTCGTGCCCCCGATTGAACCCAGGATCTTAACACTGAGCTGCATTTCCCAGCCCCTGTAACTTTTTATTTTATTTAAATTTTAAGAACATCTTGCTGTGATTTGCTCAAGCTGGGTTTGAACTTGTGATCCTCTTGCCTCAGCCTCCCAGAGGGCTGGGATTACAGGTGTGTGCTACTAGGTTTTATATGGGTGATTTCTTAACTATTTGGAACTCCAAAATCACAGAGCTCCATTTTTACAGAAATTTTCTGTTGACTGCAAAAAGTTTGCTTTAATGAAATTAAACAAGTCCATAACATTAAAATTCATAATATACTTGGTGAGCCCTTCATTGTAATCTTGTGCTTATTTGCATTTAAAAATTTTTCTTTAAGATCTTACTCTCTGCTCTTGGCAGTTTTAAAGGGGGTGTTTTGAGGGTGACAAGGACGCCAACACTGGCTTTTCTCCTACTGTTTAGTTCGGGCCTCTTCTCTGCCACATTGCGTCCTGTCGGTGCCGTTTCGCCACAGGCTGGAAGTTGAGAGCTCCCATCCAAAGGCCAGGCTCACCCTAACGTAATCGCACTGCCCTGCTGTTGACCTGTGGGCGAGGCTGGGCAGCGCCTGAGATGCGAGTGGCATTCACACCCAGTGCCACTGAAACCCCAGACTCTCCGAGTAAGCCCACACCACACACTGCAGAATCGTATCTCCATTGGCTGAGGTTCCCAGACACTGGGCAGAGCCGGGAGTAATAGGAAACCTTGGTCTTTCAGGTCTCCTGGCAACTAGCTGAAATCTATTAAGCCTCTTGGAATTCAAGATTTAGCTGTTGTCTTGTTTAAAAAAAAAAACCACTATAACTGTGATCTTATGGACAACGTCTGCCCGCCTATGACTTCAGAAAGGAGTTAGTTGCTGTGAAGCACAAAATCTCAATTTCCAGTGTGTGTGGAATTAAATTTTATTATAGATGCCTCTTCTACTAATGTATAGCAGCTCTAATTAAATTAACGAAAATTCTCTCAAGAGTTAGAATCTCCTATTTACAGTGAAAATTTAGGGATTACACTGCAATTACCTGAAGTCTAAATGACCCAAAGGATGATGAAATGTTACCCGTAATTACGTTTACGCTGCCACAGAGGGCGATAAGCAGAGTGCAGTTAACGGCGAGGAGGGCTGGTGCCCAAGGTTGCCACATCTCCGGAAATCTCAGTTTGCCTTTTCAGGGTCACAAAGGACAGCTGGGGCGATTTAGGGCTGGGTGGGGGTGAGGTGGGGGTGGCTCCCGGGAGCGGGTGGTGGTGGTGGAAAAGAGCCTGTGCGCGTTTCCACCGTAAGGGGGCGTAGATTTAAGACTATGAACCCGGACGCCCAAATGAAAGAACATTTTAAAACATTTTCAATTTATTTTAATTTGCGGGACTTAAGCGTCAGAATTCTCTTGTGCAGTGGAGCACATTTACGTTGCTCATGGCTTCTGTGTGTTACCACGTCCAGCTGCGCGGAGAACTCCGGCGATGCTCGTCTGGAGCTGGACGTCTCTGCGGCCGTTTCCACCTCGTCTCCCCTGCCGTTGTGGCGGTGACCAGGGCAGGACGGAGCCTCCGGGGCAGGACCTTTCCTGGCATCGCAGAATCTCGAGCAGGGTGACTTGCGCTCCCTGGAGCCGAAAGAAGCTCTTGGACCTCCTAGCGCTCGGGTTGGAGGGGGACTCTCCGGGGAACGTTTTGGGGAGACAGTCCTCTCACTTGCTGGTTTAACAAGCAAAAGCCCTGAGGACGAGTCGGAGATGGCTTTCAAGCTTTCTGACACCTCCAGAAGCCGAAACGTTCGCTCGCCTTTGGAAGCAACAAGTTTCCCCTTCCCGCATTCCGCGCGCCTGCGGGGGTTCTGCGACGGGGACGCGGTGGCCCCGACACCGCCTCAACTCCGGGGTGAATCGAGCGGCCCAGAGGGTGGGGCTGGCGCAGGGCCGGGGGAAAGCGAGGGCGCGGGAAGCGGCCGGCCAGCTGGGCACGCCAGGTCCGCGTAGGAGCCTGGGTTCGGGTTCCCTGACCGTGCGCGGGGGACCAGGAAGGTCAGTCAGGTGCCCAATCAATCCCAGTCTGCGCGGCGGGAGTGCGGGTGGCCGAGAGCTCGAAAGAGGTGAGACCCGCAGGACCCAGGGGTTTTTGCTCCGAGAGTAGCAATTTTGACAACTGCTCCTTTTCCCCAATCCTGCCTCTTGTGCCCTGGGTGTGTGTGTTCGCGTGTGTGAGTGTGAGTGTGTGGCTGTGTGTGTGTGAGTGTGTGCCTGTGTGTGTGTGTGTGTGTGTGTGTGTGTGTGTGTGTGTGAGTGTGTGGCTGTGTGTGTGCCAGCGCATTTCTTTACTTTCAAACACATTTCCTTTTTTAAAGCCCTGAGATGGAGAGCGCAGGGCCAGGGGGAGGCGGGGACCCCAGTGGCGCGCGGCGCATTGGGGGCTCCCCGCGGGTTCAGACCTGGGTGGTGGCCTGTTTAAGGGAAGGCAGAGGGGCAGTCAGGCGGGTAGTGGGGGTTAGGGACCAGGAAGCAGTGGGCAGGGAAGGGGTGCGGGGAGGAGTCCTGATGTAAGAATGTTAATGAGAGGCTCCCCCAGCCCAGCCCAGCCCCACCCCTCCCCCTCCCTACCCCCATCCACCCCACCCGCAGGAACACAAGCCCGGCCTCGGTGCGCCTTGTGTGGTAACGCGCTCGGCTGCTGCCACACTATTTAAACGCGGGCTATGGATCCGGGAACCCGCGCGAATCAATGAGATCAAACGCGGAGGAGATGCACCGTCAATTACAAACACTTGGACAAGTCTTTTTTTTTTTTTTTTTCTTTTGCAAATACGCTTTCAAAGGCAACCTTAGCAACGCCCAAATAAGAAGCCACCTCTAAGCCAAACAGCAAATGTATAAAGGAAGGGCGAATATATACTTATAATAGTATAGATGTATATTACAGACGCACAGGTTTACACTCGGTGAACTTTTTCTTCTTTTTTTAATGCTAGTGACACTGCAGAGGAGTCTTACTATCTTTTGGCGTTAGGGAAGGGGGCAATCTGTTTCCTTAGGGCGCCCAAGGGGGCGCAGGGACCTCGGAAAGGAGAGTGGGGAGGAAGGCGGCGGGCGGGTGGGGGGCCGAGGGCGAGCCGGCGGCCGGGGCGAGCGCCGCGTCGCCGCACCATGCCGTCCCTGCTGCCGGTGCTCACTTTCTCCGCGCACGTCCTGCTCGGCTGGGCGCTGCTGGCCGGCGGCGCGGGCGGCGGTGACGGAGGCGGCGGGGGCGCGGGCCCGGGCGGCGGGCGCCGGGAGAGAGAAGCGCTGCCGCCCCAGAAGATCGAGGTGCTGGTGCTGCTGCCCCAGGACGACTCTTACTTATTCTCGCTGGCCCGCGTGAGGCCGGCCATCGAGTACGCGCTGCGCAGCGTGGAGGGCAACGGGACCGGCCGGCGGCTCCTGCCGCCAGGCACTCGCTTCCAGGTGGCCTATGAGGACTCGGACTGCGGCAACCGCGCGCTCTTCAGCCTGGTGGACCGCGTGGCGGCGGCGCGGGGCACCAAGCCCGACCTCATCCTGGGGCCGGTGTGCGAGTACGCGGCGGCGCCGGTGGCCAGGCTGGCGTCGCACTGGGACCTGCCCATGCTGTCGGCGGGAGCCCTGGCCGCCGGCTTCCAGCACAAGGACACTGAGTACTCGCACCTTACGCGCGTGGCGCCTGCCTATGCCAAGATGGGAGAGATGATGCTCGCCCTGTTCCGCCACCACCAGTGGAGCCGCGCCGTGCTGGTCTACAGCGACGACAAACTGGAGCGCAACTGCTACTTCACTCTCGAGGGGGTCCACGAGGTTTTCCAGGAGGAGGGTTTGCATACATCCTCCTACAGTTTCGACGAGACCAAAGGCTTGGACCTGGACGACATCGTGGGCCACATCCAGGCCAGTGAGCGAGGTGAGCAGGAGCGCGCCCCGGGGCCCGGACCCTAACCCAACCGTTCGCCGCCGCGGTCCTTTGCTGAGGCTGGGGGAGCGCGCGCAGGGTCTCGCTCAGGTCGCGCTGCCTGAGCGCGGGCTCAGAGGAAGGTCGCAGTGGAGGAGGTACCTAGAGGGTCCTGGGGAAGTGAAGGGCTCTGGACAAAGGGATGTCTGAGCCCACGCTCTCCCGTGCCCACCTCTGACAGGTGCTGTCAAGCTGCCTACCTCACCCCCTGCTTTGCCAGCGCGGGGCTCACGGTTAGGGGAGCACGATCAGTGCCCTGCTCTAAGGTCTGAAGCGCGCCAATTCCAAAAGAACTTGTGGCCCAGCCCATTCCCGACGCGCACCCACTCTTGGTGCGGAATCCTCTGCTCCGCTGCCCGGTGCCGCCACTAGTCTAGTCCTGGCCTCCTGGTTTCCCGACTGCTCTTGCCAGAGACCCTAGGTTTCTTTTAAAGGCTCATTGTATCACTCTTCTCATTTCTTCCATGGCTCCTGTAGTTATAAACAAGCTTCTGTGCTTTCCACAAAAATGCCTCGCTGTGTTTGGACTCAGGCGACACCCGTGTGCGTTTGTCAGGGCAGGCTGCAAAGCCCCCAGAGCTATGCTTTCCGCAGGGTGGAGGTGGTGCTGGGGAGGCTTTGAATTTCTTTTCCACCTGCGGGTCTCCCCTCACATTTTCTCTGGGAGTCTTCGGGAATTTGAAATAATCTCCGAACTGGACAAAGAGCGCAATGCTGAGTTGGGTTGGTGGCTGCCGCTACACAGAGCCGGTAGGTTAATTGGGAAGCCCCCTGTGCGTCTTGTTTTACTGGAGGGTAGACTGCAAGAAGGCGGGCTGAAATCCCAGCACAGTACAGGACTCTGGTCAGCAGAGTCGGAGTCGCGGTTGGGGCGATCAAAGGACAGGGAATCCCACCCCTGCTTTTCCTCCGCGCGCACGCGCCTATAATGCCAGCGGTGCAACCTGGGCAAAGCTACCTGATCCTGGTGTCACCCAAGGTGACCCAAGGGAACCCGGACTGAGCCAGGCCAGGGGTTTATTCGTGATTTGGCCGAGCATTAGCGGTGGGCGACAGCGCAACTCGAGGCCTGGAGCCTCAGAAACAGGTGAGATTGAGCAGGGCGAGAGCTACAGCCAGTGAACACACCCTCGAGACCGAAGAGGCAGGGGGTTTGACCAGGGGGGTATAAGCTGGTTTTGAGCTCTTGAACTCCAGGTTGCCTGCACCGAATACCTACCAGTTCAGCTGACTCCGAAAAAGGGCTTTGTACCCAAAGGCAGCTGCCAAGTCGTCAGCCCGGGATTACTTCCCTCCGCACCCCAAGCCCCAGAGTTCCTCTAGCTGTTCTGGGTCCCCGAACCTATTACTTCAGCTCTGGGCTTTACAGGGTCGGTTGGGGTTGGGGGGTGTGGCGCCCTACTGCGAGATCCATGCTTTGTGGAAACATCCGCACTTCCATTGCCCTGTTGGTCCCCGGGGCTTCACCTCACTTGGCCTGGGATGTAAGGCTAAGGGCATCTGTCTGTCCAGATGAGGGCGGATGGAGGCCAAAGGACCTCTCAACCTCACAATGGAGGTCAAGGGCCATGAGGGCGCGGAGCCCTGGCCGGCCTGCCGGCCGGGTGCCTCAGGCGACAGAGCATTTGCATAGCATTCTGTTGCTGCGGCCCCCCCCATTCCCCAAACTCTCAGAGCCTTCTAGACGTTCCCAAGTCTCTTTGCTTTTTTCCTTCGGACTTTGAATTTAGAGGTGAAAATATACTGGCTGACGTTTATATTTTATTGATTTTACAATTTTATGATTCTTGCTCTAAAACGCATTTCCAAGAGTGATCCGGCGGATATATGGAAACAAAACAGTTTCTTCCCTAAATTGCACCTGTCTGTCCTCCAATTTTTTGCTCTTAGAAAAGTTGCTTGATGACAAACTTTCTTAGAGGATCTTCTAGGAGCACACTGAGTCTTCACTTCGTAGTCAGCAGTTAATGGGCCAAACAGGGATTCAGTATATGCTTCCGATGGAGTTTGTGGTTGAGCTACTCACCAGCTGGTGGATCTTGGGCCGCAGTTGAACCCATACCTTGGGCTCCTCAGGTAAAGTAGTGCAGGGGGGCCCACAGGGCTTCCTAGTTCAAGGAGCTAACCCATGGAGTGTGCTGACTCAGGGTCACAGCAATCCGAGGGCTCAGTGAACAAATGAGCTGTTTCATCTTAGGGGTGATCTGTGCATTGGTGTCCCCTCTTTTTCTATAAGGGGAGACTGCCACATGGGAAGCAACCCTGGCCTGGAAAGCAGATGTCCCTGGAGCAGGAGCCTCTGCTTCCATATAGCTCTGTGGCCTGTGCAAGTCCGAATTCCCTCCTCTGTGAAACAAGGACTCAGGAGAATAAGGCCTCTTCAAGCTAATGTTCAGTGACCCTATTTTTGCTCACCCAAGTGTAAAAATGTAACTGACAACGTTTCTGCCTTTGAAAATTCCTTCTTAATCACCATGAACAAGAGCATGCTTTAATCTTCTTTTGGAGAGAACATTTTCAGCATTTTTTGGTCTTCAAGTCATCTGTAAAGCCAAATTATGAATATTTGAGGCTCTTCCCTGTAAAAACTGATAACTCCATCTCAAATGCAGTAATAGTATGACTAAATTTTCACTTGGTTATGTGCTGTATTGCAGAAAAAAATAGGGGCATTAATTATTTTTCATTTTAGGCACCCAAGTTAATAATTTAAACATATTTTCCTTTTATGTCTTTAGTTGAGATCACTGAAGTACACATCTAGGAGTGTGTTTTTAAAAATACTGACCTTTCTTTAAAATGGGTTCACTTATACAGCTGAGGACCACTGTCAGTATTCCTCAGTATTTTTAACAAGACAGATGTAGAATTGGATATTTTTTCAAGCTATGAAAGCCAGCAGTTGTTTTATTTATGTATGTGCAGAATTAGAAGTATCCTATACAAGCTTTGTATGAATAAGAGTTATTATTTTAGTTAACATGTCATTGATCTTGTCCTGAATAATGACTACAGAGATACGGGATTTTGAGAATCACTTACTTTTGGTAGTCTAGAGTAAAGGAAGGCCTGGTAGATGACTGAGTGGTTGATCAGCAGAATTTTAAGGCAGAGAACTCACGACAAGTGTAAAACAGTGCATAGCAGTAGAAAATAGCACTGTAGGCGTCAATGTAAAAATTCCAAAGGCCTTTGGAGTAGATAAAAGATACACTCTCTCTTTACAAATGATATCTATTGCTATGTAGGTACAAGTTGCCAGAGAAATCGTTTTTTGGAAAAAATAAATCGTAATTTATTTAAGTTAGAAAATCACACATCTTATGAGGAAAATCTTTGTCTCCAACTTCCCATTTTTTATTTTCTGGAGGCGTCAATCTGCAACTTTTGTAGCTGTTTCTGTAGGTGTTGGAGCTCTTTGGAGCTGATCTTCTGTTTGCCTTTTTATTTCTAATATTCTACTTTTGATCTTTTCAGTTTCAGGTCTTATTTCTTGGTATCCCAAAGGAAGATGACAACCGAGTTGTCTTCTACTGTCTGTCAGCCACACATGGAAACTTTCCTTCTGATATGGCTATGTTAAAATTTTTTTAGCTCGTATCGTGTCATTATTATTTTTATTATTTTAAATGCTGAAGACATGGAAGCTGAGCCATGCAGGCTACTCTGATGGCACTTTCTTTGTTGTACTAGTGCTTTCCTTTTTGTTGATTTGCTAAGTTTCCTGTGGATTCATAGCTAAATCATCTAAGGCTCTATTTTAAGCTCCTGAGCTTCTCTAGTTTAATTGTTTTTAAAGTACACTGTACAGTTATCATTCTGGGCTCATTCTTTAGTGTATTCCTAGGACTCTAATCATCTCTTTCTTAAGTTATATCCTTGTATGTTTCTCTTTCTCTCTTTATGCCCTTGTTTTAGTGGAGCATATCCTCTAGGAGCCTTTCAAGAAAGGATGAATGAAAGGTAAATTTCATGACTGGGAATATCTTCTCACCAGTTGTAGAATTCTAAATTGGAAATTGTTTTCCCTCAAAATTTGACAGCATAGCTCCCTTGTCTTCTAAATTCCAATGTTACTACTTGGAAACTTGAATTTACATGGAATTTGAATGTAATACTTGTTATCCACCATTCTGGAAAGTTCTAGAATCTTCTTGCTCTCAGTGTTTCAGCATTTTGTTATGATATACACTGGTGCTGGTATTTTGCCTTATGCTCTTTATAAGCCCCTTCTTTCTAGAAAATCATGTCTTTTAATTCTGGGAAAATCTCTTTGATGATTTTACCCCCTCCTTTCATCTGTTTTTGATTTCTAGTTTTTTGTTACTATATTTCTTCAATTGATCCTCTATTTTTCTTATTTTCTTCTTGTTACCTATATACCACTTAAAACTCTTCCTTGGAGATTTCTTTGACCACTTCCAAAATTACTCCTGAGTTTTTGACTTTTGTTTGTTTGCATCACATTTTAAGCTTGCAGAACATAGCACAATCTGTCTTGCTTCCATGAAGAAACATTCTTTTTTCCCCTCTAAGTTAGACTTAAATGGAACATGGCTGAAGGAATAAATGAAGAATGTGAAAATATACTTTTTATTGTTGCTAAAACTCACTGGAGAATATGACTTAGCTATGTTGTCAACAGGACTGGTTTACTGTTATTTCCTCCCAGAGTTAGGCAGGAACAGCCACTAAATCAGATAGGATCTTTCAGCTGCGGGTCCCCCATCCAGAGTGAAAAATACAGCCTGTAGAATGTGCTCTCTGCATATGAGGTATGATCTAAAAATACACTGAATGCCTAATTTTAAAAATTGATTGCAGTGAAAGACATATTGCCATTAATTGCCCTCAGACCTCCTTCCCCCCAGCTCTTAGCCCATCAGCTGCTGCTTTATGAAGCCATCTGAGAGTCTTCTTTTGTGAAGTGTTTTTAGTTGTGCTGTGGTGAG